GTTCTGGGGTGAGAGATATACAGATATCCGATCATTTGCTTATTTTTTGTGATATAGAAATTGAATGTAGCATAAAAGAAAGTTTTACCTTCACATTTAGAAAAATAGATCAAATAAATACGGATATTTTTTTGGAAGATCTGCGTAATTTACCCTGGAACTTATTTTATGCCTTGCGTGATATTGACACGAAAGTTGATTATCTGACCAATTCATTACTAGAAGTACTTGAAATTCATGCTCCTCTTAAGACTATCAAAAACAAAGATAAACCATTTCAACCCTGGATTACTGATAATGTTCGTTTATTGATAAAATTAAGAAATAAGGCTTTGAATAGATTTAGGGAAACTAAAAATGATAACAACTGGCTTTCGTACAAAAACTTGAGAAATATGACAACTTCAGCTATAAGAAAAGAGAAGAAAGCGTATCTTAACTTTAAATTATCTCATGCTAAGCAACATCAAATGTGGAAAGAATTTAAAAAAATAGATATTTGTAAGCCATCTAAAAAACTCAATCTGACACAAGAACTAAAAGATGTGAATAAAATTAATAAATATTTCTCTGAAGTAACTCAAAATCTACCTCCAATAAATCAGAATATTTCTAATTTTTATAACCAAAACAGTATAGGAAACTGCAGATTTCAATTTCAGTTGGTTACAGAGAATTATATTAAAGACTTAATCACTCACATAAAGAGTAAGGCATTCGGTTTGGACAATTTAAATGTAACAATAATACTTTTAGCTCTTCCTGTCATAATTAAGCCTATTTTGCACATTGTTAATCTTTGTATAGAAAATTCATATTTTCCACTACTCTGGAAAAAAGCCAAAATTATTCCTCTTCCAAAAGTTCAAAATGCCTCCTCCTTTTCACAAATTCGATCTATATCGGTACTTCCAGTTCTATCAAAAGTCCTTGAAAAGGTAATGGAAGACCAAATTCGAAGTTACATGGATACTAATGAACTGTTTCCAGCAAACCAATCCGGATTTCGTAAAGGATATGACTGCTGCACAGCTCTTTCTAAGGTAACAGATGATATATTGGCCGCTCTTGACAGTAATCAAGCATCAGTTCTTGTATTATTGGACTTTACTAAGGCATTTGATTTAATAAATCATGATTTACTTCTATCAATATTAAAGTATATTGGTTTAGAATTTACTGCTTTTGGTTTAGTTCAGTCATATTTATCAAATCGTCAACAGTATGTTACCCTTGATAATAAAATGTCGGATCCTTGTGAGGTGGTCGCCGGAGTTCCTCAGGGAAGTATTTTGGGCCCTCTTCTGTTCACAATTTATACCTCACAATTCGACAAATACTTGCAACACTGCAGTAGTCATACTTACGCAGACGACAAACAAATACTACTGTCATTTAGTCCCACACAGAGTCAGCAAGCTTGTACTTTTTTGAATGAGGACCTTGGAACGTTGTCTCAGGTGGCAAAGGACCATCAACTACAAATTAATCCCTCTAAATCAGTTGCACTTCTTTTTTGTAGCGAGGTGCATCGGGCTGGTATTGTTGGTGACATGTCATTGAAAATTGATGGTACAAATCTGCCCTTCCAGAATTATTCTAAAAACCTAGGTCTGATAATGGATAATAAACTAAAATTTACTGAACACGTTACAAGCAAGATTAGTTTAGGGTACTGCAACTTGAAATTGCTTTATTCGCATCGAAAATATTTACATCAAGATGCCAAAAGAATGCTGTGCGATGCGATGGTCTTATCACCGTTAAATTATTGTGATGTTATATATGGTCCTTGCTTAACTACTTACGATTCTAGGCGCATCCAGAAATTGCAAAACTGTTGTCTAAGGCTAATTTACGGAATACGCAGAAGAGAACGAATCACGTATAGACTGCAGGATGCAGGTTGGCTGAATATGTATAGTCGAAGAGTGATGCATTCCGCAATATTTTTTTATAAAATTCTTAAAAAAAAGTCTCCTAGGTATCTTGTAGAAAAAGTGCGATATCGTAATCAAATCCATAACCGCAACCTTAGATGTAGCCATATTTTAACGATACCACGCCATAACAAAGAATTTTTCAAAAAGTCTTTTGCATACAATATTGCTAACATAATAAACAAATTTCAAATAGTGGATTTTTCCACTTCGATTGCATTTCTTAAAAAACGAATTAAAACTAAATTATTTCAATCGCAGCTCGTACGAATATAGTGTTTTGATATTAAATTTGTTGACTTGTTCGGTATACGTATGTGTGTACGATACTTTTTTTTCAGTATTATTTTTATTAATAGTGAATTGATTTTATTTATTTATTTTTTTTCATTCCTGCAAATGTGTGCTTTACCTCTCTTTACCCCTCTCTCTCCGTCCCTTACCTACACTCCTTGTCGATTTATTTTCGCTTAGTTTTATTTTCTAGTTGATAATAATAATCTCTGTACTCTGGTTAATTTTTCTTTTATTCTGTTTTAATTTGTTGCTATTATATTTGAGGCCTCAACAGCATTTGTGAGATCATGCGTGACCTCGCAAAATAGGCTGAAATATGGGCCGTTTAACTCATCTAGTCGTGTAAGTAAGCTGATGTAAAATGTTATTTGTATTTACTTTTTGAGTTAATAAACGTCTTATTATTATTATTATTATTATTATAAAATGAACCTCGAGACAGCAATGAAGTTTGCCGTCGAGGTTTGTATACTATTTTATTTTTAACCATAATTTCTTGAAAAAAAATAAATAAATTCGTGACAACCAAATAAATGAGGTCGGGAAATGAGGACGGGGAATGAGGACGGGAAATATTTCCCTGCAGCATTTTCCGTCCGTGGACGGGAAATGAGGATGGAAAAAATTTCCCGTCCGCATTTCCCGTCCTGGGACAGGTAATGGACCAGGAAAATAGAAAGACAGAAATGTCATTTTCAAATTTTCGAAAAGTCAGTAATGACAGCATTTCATATATGGTTAAAAATAAATAAAGTACCTAACAACCTCCAACTAGATTTTTTTTAATTACCAGTGGAAATGTCACAGTTACAAATAACCTTGCAAACAAACATAGACGTCGAAAATGAATGTTTTAGAAACGTCTTGAGTGGAACGAATTTCCGGATTGTAGATTGTATAGTCTGGGTGTTTGGGTTGTGGATCGTGGATCTCTCCGCACTGCAACCTGATTAGATCTATTGTGCTTGGCAAAGCCTATATAATGTTTTTATTATACTTACCTGAAAACACCTCTTTGCCACCTGTCTTTACAATAAAGTAATGGTGATATTTCCAGAACAGCGCACGGAAATTTTTTCCCGATCTCTGTTTCCGTGCGCTAAGCAGATTAGACGTCAGTCAATATTGCATCCTTGTCATTCATTCGAAATTGAACAAAGATATTTTATTATAAATGCATTCCGACAAATTAAAAAACGATTTAAGTTTCTGTGACAACCATCATTTACCTATGTACATTCGTGAGCATTGAAAGTGGGACACACGATTTTTCCTATTGTGAAACGAATTCGCCAGCTATACTTAGGCAATGACGGGGATTGTCATATTTGACAGAAAAATCCATTGTAGAGAAAAGACTGATTTACCCAAAATAGGGAAAAATGACAAGTGTGAGTCGGGTGTCCCACTTTCAATGCTCACGACTGTACCTATTTTTGACATTTTATTTTCTGTAAAATTCATGGAATTTTAAAAAATTGGAATTTTAAAGAATTGGAACACTTCTATGTCTAATTATAATGTTGATTATTCCACTCATGTGTTAGAAATCCCATAAGACAAGTGACGATTTTCAGAATTACAGCGAAAATTCTCTTTTCCATTTGTTTAACTAGAGAGAATTACAGCGATTATACAATTCACTGTACATTATTCCCATATGACACGAGAGACTTAACAAGTGATAAGCCTTTTGGGATTATCACGCTTGGTGGCATTTATGGCAAATTCTGTTATAGATTTTTTTTTTAAATTTTAAAGTATTATAGTTTAGTTCATTGTATAACCTTTTGAATACCACTCGATGTTTCAGGATTACCTAATGCTTTTACCTGACACTCAACGCGTTACTAGCAATACCACTCCTCCTTCGGAGTCGTGGTGTTGCTGCGTAACGCGTTTCGTGACAGGTAAAAGTATTATCCGGTAATCCTAAAACCTCTTGTGGTATTACATTCGATAATTCTCCCATGTTATTGTATACGTGGTTGTCATGCTAATTTTTGATACAAACAAACGGTACCTGATAGCAACCATTTATTTGTATTGATTGTTAAGATGTTCAAATCGTTTAATACATAAAGTTTGTTTCGCCAGGGTTTGTACTTGCCACCAGCATTTGCCTTCCTTGTTTAACAAATAAAAATTGACTGAAACAAATCAATGACGTCAAAAAGGTTCGTCGGTTCTTAAACCAAAAGTCATTCATTTTTATTTGTCAAAAAATTGAATGTGTCATATGAATTAATCTACGACAACCCTTTTTTTTCAAGTTTCAAGGTCAAGTATGAACCCTGGTGAAACGGACCTTATTTATTTCCATATTTTTTGCATTCTCATATGTGAAATAATCCTCTAAATACCACTTGAGCTTTAAAATGAACCAGATAATTTTGAAGCTCTCGTGGTATTATCCCCGATTAGACATATGGTGTTATCGAAAACTGCCTCTATATCAATAAATGCGCATAAAGTCTGTCGATTTTGATCTGATACTCGAAAGGAATGTGAGCTGGTGGCTCCCTACATTAGAACGCCAATGGTCACTTGACGTCACACCTGTTTTTGCCATAACCTTCACCCCCTCGCTCCTCATACGGAAAGTGTCAGATAAAAAACGACGCACAATAAGCATCTGCTTGACTTTGAATGTGGCCTTTCAATCTTAGTGACAAGACTGTGTAGGGCTGTCACAGTTGATTTACCTGGCAAATTGATTCTTTTAGTTTTAAAAATAACAACATTTACCATTTTCTTCTTTAGGCAGTATCATGGGATTCCCTGATGCAAAGAAATTCGACGGTGACGTGTTCGGGCAACCATGCGACATTTTGATCGCAGCAGCCAAGGAGAAGGTGATATCCAAAGAAAACTGCGGTCAAATCAAGGCAAAGATTGTCGTCGAAGGCGCCAACGGCCCAGTCACTCCAGCAGCTCAGAAACTTTTGCAAGAGAGAAAAGTTATCATAATTCCCGATATTTTGGCCAACTCAGGAGGTGTCACTGTTTCCTACTTTGAGTGGCTGAAAAACTTGAACCACGTATCTTACGGCAAACTGTCGTTCAAATATGAAAGAGACTCCAATTATCATTTGTTGGCGTCAGTACAAGAATCCTTGGAGAAAGCTCTTGGCAAAGAGATCCCTATAAGACCGTCATTGGATTTCCAAAAAAGAATTGCCGGTAAGTGGCAGAAAAAAAGAGTCGAAATATTTTTGAGTATTTTTTTTTAGGTGCTTCTGAAAAGGACATCGTCCACTCGGGCCTCTCTTTTACAATAGAGCGCACTGCTAAAGCCATTCAACTCACCGCCGCTGAGTTGGATTTGGGCATAAACTTTCGACTTGCAGCGTACGTTAATGCGCTCGTAAAGGTGTTCCACACTTATGCCACTTCAGGATTTGCTCATTAACCAATTTGTATTTTTTGCGGCTGTCAAAATAATTTGTGAATAAATTTTTGTGAACCTGACTTTCCGTTGATTTATTTGTTAGAAGAATAATCCGCAAATGCCTCATTCTATTTAATATTAAATTAGTTTATTTGCCATTAGCAAATATTTGAAATAATTATTTACAGAAAACTTATTTTCGCTGAAATCATGATTTGAATTATTGAAGCGTATTTTAAATTTGGCCCAGCTATTTAAATCGTACATAATTCGCTTGATTAATTAACAATTATTGTGTTAAATAATTTTAAATTTTAAAATCGTTATTCAATGAAAATTCATTTTATTGGTAAAATAACTACTTTATTGAATTACCTTAATTTTTATTAAATTACCTTAATTTATTCCAACCAACTTTTCTCATTGTCTTGAAGCTCAGCCAGGGATATTTGATCCGGAAGAGTTTCAGGGTAATTTTTTTTTTCAAATCAAATCGATAGTTCAAGTAGTAAATTTAGGATGAAATTTTTCAGAAGTAAGTAATATCTAATATAAATCTGAGAATACATTTAGTCACAACTGGCAACAGCGCAATCAAAACTTTAAGCCAGTGGCCACAGGAACAGCTGTTCTTGGCCATTAGGCTCTTTTTTGAAATTAGCATACTAGATTGGGAGGGCGTGACAGGTTTTACCTACTGATTTTATCCCGCATGCCTTTTTAATGATTGATAATAATTAACACAGAAACAGCAAGAAAAAATATGATTTTCACCGCCGCTCGAAACCGCTATATTGGGAAAATCGAATTTTCATTTGTGAAAAACTTTTGTGGTTTTTGGTGATCTGTAACTACATGCCATTTAAACATAAGCTAAAACTAACGTATTAAAAGTCTTGTAATGAAAGGCATGTACCCCGCAGTAGCGCAAATGCTTCAAAGAGTCAACTGAAGATGAAAAAAATAATGCTGATTTTTAATGTTTTGAAATTGCATGCCAATGGAAATATCCAATTTTCATCCAAATAACAGCGTAAAAAATAAATGGCATGCGCCGCTCGGTGGGGGAAATCCGGAAAATAAGCGGAAAATTTTGTGAAAATTTTTAGTATACTTTTGGTGATTTCAAACTCGTTAAAACAATGTTCAGTAATGATTTTGTAATGAAATAATTATATAGCCCGAAAGGCGTGCATCCAGCTTTGGAGCATCGTATTATAAACAATAATCAAAGTTGTACAAAATAATATAAATAATAGTTGGGGAGCTGGCGTCAAAAACATGCAAGAGTTTTCGCAAGGCTGATATTTTCAAAATAGGTCGTACTTTAGTGCTAGAATGCTAGTGTACAGTCAGCACTCACAGTTCCGGGACAGCTGGCTCTGGGACGCGGGCAAAGTTGTAATTTTAAGAAGCATCTAAACTGTTTTCTCAAAGCTCAAAATTTATAGAAATTTTGCACTTTATCTGTTTGAAGGTCACAGATAACGTATGTAAATCGTCAGACGTCTAGTTCGTTGCAAAAAGGGGGTCAGACGTCCTCAAAGTTTTTATTTTATGGCATTTTCTTCGGTGTCCTGTCAAAATATATTTTTGCAGGTATTTGACAAATATATTTGAAGAAAATGCCATAAAATAAAAACTTTGAGGACGTCTGACCCCCTTTTTGCAACGAACTAGACGTCTGACGATTTACATACGTTATCTTGTGACCTTCAAACAGATAATGTGCAAAATTTCTATAAATTTTGAGCTTTGAGAAAACAGTTTAGATGCTTCTGGAAATTACAACTTTGCCTGCGTCCCACAGCCAGCTGTCCCGGAACTGTGAGTGCTGACTGTACACTAGCATTCTAGCACTAAAGTACGACCTATTTTGAAAATATCCGCCTTGCGAAAACTCTTGCATGTTTTTGGCGCCACCTCCTGGACTATAAATAATGATTTCTTTTTGCTTGCCATTTTGCAAATCATTAAAAAAAGATATTTTAAGTGCAGAAACAAAATGGCATGCACGCACCTGCAACCCTACATACAGGGTGTCCCACGGTGGATGGCGTAGTGATGGGACATGAACATCGATGTATCGTAAACATCGATGTTATTGCCTTCGATAATCGATGTTTTAGCATCGATGCCAGAAGTTACAAAACATCAACATATCGATGTTCGAACCATCGATATTCCATATTGCGAAAAGTACGCAAACCCAAACTCAAAAAAGAAATAGATTGAAAGGGAAAGGAAAAGATTATCAGCCTTGTTATTTTTACAGTTTGTTTTAGGTCGTATTTTTGGGAACTTGAGGATTCGAAGTAGTTTTGCTGTTTATATCATTTGATTCCTATTCATTCTGTAATTATTTTATTCCTGTTTTTGCTTTTCATCAAAAATAATGTTTATTTTTGTATCTTTTTGTTTATAAATGTACAGTTCGTCAAACAAAAAACTGGTACGCATTATCCTATTGTGTTGTATTGTGTAAATCGATCTTTTTTATCACCTCAACAATGACAAAGAGAGTCAAGTCAGTGTCATATTTAAACCAATAATAACATAAAAACATGTTGCATTTTACTTTTGTTCAGGTTTGACATTGACAAAAACTGCCTGAACTAAGTTTTTCAGAACAGACTTTTTGTTGTTAAGCCTAACTCACACTAGGCAAATTTAAAAAATATATATTGCCTGTACCAGTTTTATGTTTGGCCAAGTGTATCTAAATATGTTTTCAATCAGTATTTTTACAAGAATACCAAAAAGTAACCAAAAAAACATAATCTCAACATTGAACATCGATGTTTCAAAACATCGATATTTTATTGACATCGATAGTATCGAGCGATATCAGAACCGATGTTCAACATCGATGTCTGAGCACCGATGTCACATGACTAGGATGGCGTAAGACGTTTATGGAGAACTAAAAAGCGGATCATTTTGAAAATTTGGCATCCGGGATAAACGACCATGATATTCACTAATGGCGTTTCCGATTGGTAGATTCAGTGCGCACTGAGTGTATTTGCATCCTTTTAATTGACCTTTATAAGAAAAAGACAGAAATAGAAAAAATTGCACTAGTTCCGCACTAGATCTACCAATCGGAAACGCCATAAAAATATTTTTGTTTATACGCAAATATGCGGTGTTGCCGCTTCTACTCTAAACCAGTGGCACGCTATTTCAAATGGAACACCCTATATGATTGCATATTTGGATTCTACGTAAAATACTGAGCAGATTTCATGTGATATACCCTATACCTAAGTTCAACTGTTTTGGAAATATTGATAGTTGTAAATAGACCTATCTATTTTTACCTGGCATGCGCGCGCAACACGAGGCAATGCCTTTCTATTGGCTAACTAGTACAGGTGAGAGGTGTTCGTTTTACACGCTGGACATCTGCTTGTCCTTGTTCATTGCCCGTGGTCTGACAAGAATGAAAGTACGGTTGATATTCAACTTGACATAACTTGAAAAGTGACATGCAAAAATTGTTTGACATTTTCATTGACAAATATGTTGCACAACATGCAGCCTTTCTCCTTCCCTTTTTATCCCATGCAAATAAGAAGAAAGGATTGCTATACGTAAGTCTAACATAATTTGGTACGATTTGCCTCGTCTTGCGCAATGAGCGTTCTGTGTCTTTTTTCATCTAATGAAGTTTTCGTATTATTGCCTCTTTGTCTGGTAAAATAGATAGGTCTATTGACTTTGTGCAACTTTGAGAGGCTGTAAAACCTAAACCGTTTAATTTTAGAGGAAAACCGATTATACATTCCTATCTTAGATTTTAATAAACTATCATTTGACACCAAGTTCGAATTTAATCCATGATTAAAAATTCCAATTAAATTTCTAAAATAGGAATGTGAAATCGGTCAGTGGCGTAGATACGGGAATACCTCCAGAGCCCCAGAGAGAGGAAAAAAAAAAAATGAAAAATTGTAACAAAGTTTGTTTTCATCTCGTTTCAATATCGAAATCTAAATCTAAAAAAATGTTCCATTACGTTGTTTTCTTTTTAGCGCTGGTTGAATGGTTTGGCATCTTTATCTATCAATAAAGAGTTTGTACCTTTAGTTCAGTGGCGACGCCAGGGGTGGAGGGGAAACAAAGGGGGCTCGGGCCCCCCTGAAATTTAGCCGGCCCCCCTGCAAACTTGCCCTCATGCTGGCAACAATGCAATGTAACATCAGCAGCCTCTGCCGGTTAATTCGGTAATCGGTGGGTACAGGTAACCGCGACGCTGCTTTCGCTTTCCTGGGATTCCCCCAAAAATCGTAAATTAACAGATGTGGGATTCTGTAACGAATAAATATATTTTCGCTATCTCTATTGACGTCCCCTCTCTATTGATTTCGAAAAGAGAGAAGAAGACAGCAAGTGCCATAGCGTTAGGGATAACGATTTCTATCCGTTACCTAATCCCGCCGAGGATTGCTCATCCTCATAAGGCGTACGTTCGCCAATTCTCGAGTCGGCAGGGCCTGCGAGTAACGTCACCACTATCAACAGCACAAGTATAGTGGTGAGTTAGCCAAGAAGATTGGAAATTATTCTTTAGTTTCAGAGCCCTGGAATTAAAGAATACATTATATCACTAGGTACCATTAAATTGTGATTAATCAAAATAAAAACTTTAATTTTATGTATTTTTTTGACTCTTGCCGTTCCGAAATAACGGATATGAACTTAATTTAAATTCAAAAGTTTAGGAAAAATGGGAATTTTGGAAAAGATTATGGGTGCATTCAGGCGGTCCCAGCCCCAGCGGCTAAGCTCAGCCACTCAGCAGGGACTGTATTCTAGGGTTGCCATCTGTCCGGTTTTCACCCGGACTGTCCGGTTTTTTAAAGGTTTATCCGGTTTCCGGACGCATGATGAAAATGTCCGGAAATATCTGGATAACTGTATAATTGATAATAATTAATGATAATATCGGGTCTTCAAAAAAAAAACCAATCAAAGATTGCTATGGTTTTTTAAACGTATGTCTTAGCAATATTTTTCTTCAATTTGTCAATTAACTTTAATGTCAAAATGTCATGTCAAAAATCCTGACCAATAA